AAGCTGAAGCTGAGGAAAATTAAACCAAATCCACAGGAGCCAAAATATGACTTTGATTTCATACCACCTGAATTTCAGAATAATCTCAGGAACAGGTTTGAGGCCTTGAACACTAATGAGCGAAGACCAGATGAGTTGTGGGAGGATGTCAAAATTTGAATGCATGAGATATTAATAATATTGGTCGATAATTTCTGCAGTCTGTCGGGTCACCTTTCCTTGGAATGGGAACAAATATAGATCTTTTCCAGTCAATTGGCCAGGTGCTTGTCTTACTGATTTCTTGGCACAATTTGGTGAGCACATCCAGGATGGCATCTGTTTGTTAAAATATGTCAATTGGTACGCCATTAATTCCTGGGGCCTTCTTTTTTTGCCTATTCTTTCAGAGCAGCTTAAACTTCTTCCTTCATCACCACAGGCTTTTGTTCATACATTGTTTCATGAAATTCTTCTTTGTTACCAATTCTTTTTAGTACTATTACTCTCTCTACTCTTTCCATCTTATTTTAATGCTTCCTGGATCATTTAATATTCTGCCCAAAGTATCCTTAAGTATTGCAACTCGAGGCTTGAATTTGTTCTTCAGTTACTTCAGCTTAAGAATACTGAGTGAATTCGGCCTTTTATTTTCTGACTCCAGCTCTTTGCACATTTCATTATAATACTTTACTTTGCCTTACTGCGCTGCCCTTTGAAATCTTCTGTTCAACTCATTAACATCTTGATTTCTTCCCTTTACTTTGGCTTCTTGGATCTCTAGTGCAATATTCAGAGTCTCTTCTGACATACTAGGGATATTATAGCTAATGTTTGATGGATCTTTGCTGGAAGCAGAGAGTACCAGAGGAATGTTTCATTGTGTTTCATTGGCTATACAAAGGCATTTGTATACCTTTTAAATCTATATGCAGAACAGGTTATCCGGGAGGCTGGACTCTATGAAGATAAATGTGGCATCAGGACTGGAGGAAGCTTCTTAAACAACCTGTGTTGTGCAGATGACACAATCCTGCTTGCTGAAGTCAAGGACCACAGCCTTCAACATTAAGAAAACAAAGATTTGAATCACTGGGCCAGTTGGCAGCATCACGTTAGATGGTGAAGAGTTTAAGATTGTTAACAACACCCCCATGATACATCTTCAAGGATATGAACATGTACGGCCAAGCACAATCAATAAGAGTGCATCTAAATCCCAAAATCAATCTCTATAATAGTCTATGTGTTTCCTACTGCCAAAGTGGCCCTTTAGAGTAGTGAGAGAAGATCTTCACCCTGAAACCCACAGCGTCCCTTTTCAGCAGGAAG